TGAAAGAAGAGCTTGCAATTTCGAGATCTTGGAGTCCTCGTCCATAGAATACGCCACATACGCAAAGAAAAATGACAAGCCAAGACCTCAATTGCAAGATAATAACTAAAATACATTAAAACACCGTTTATATGTGCATGTGATCATGAAACCATATTTCTAAGCTTTTAACTTATACTATACATGTATATATCTAAGATGTCAATTGTCATTAGACGAGTTGAATTAAAAAAGACAGGACTATGTTTTGAATCATACTTGATTAGATATTTTAATTTGCATTGATTACGTTAAAGTGTTTTACACTTCCACAATTGTGTAATGAATTATATTAAACACATTATATACGTTTGAAATTTTTTAAGTCCGTATTATGTTCATGGCATAAGTTATTAACAATAACGTCAAAACACTCGGGAAAAAAATCGGGGCGTGACATATATCTTATGTTTCATAAAGAAGAATAGATAGGATTTTTTTTGTAAAAGTTTTATGATTGTATTGATCCAAGAACAAAAAGCCTTCAACAAAATTAAAGACTAGTTTTTTGACAAAAGATCAGTACAAAATAAAGTCAAAAGTTGTTTGATAAATACTACTTCTGGAAAGCTGATTTTGAGTACAAACTTAACCAACAAGTTTATTTCACCAACTCTACCAACTCTTGTCCTTGTATACGAACATATTTGGCATGCCAAACAAAGAGGTTTTTTACCAAGTTTTCTATTAAGTCATGTATGTATAAAGTTGTTTGTATAGATAAATCTGTCTGTCTAGATAATTGATGTTGTTGTTTACTTTTTTCTTCTGAATCAACAATCTAAACAATAAAAATGACCGATTTACCTCTCAGTATGAATTATGCTATTTGATAAATTGATGATTTTTTAATAAAACAACTTATGAGCAACAAATGGCAAGAGATTTATAAATAAATCTTTCAATTCCACAATAACATTGGAATAAAATGGTAGCAATAGTGTTGTTTCACAAGAATTTAAGCTACATCATTTTCTTTTCCCGATTTAAAAAACCCAAAAGACTGCATCTTCTTCCTCTTCTATTGTTGTTGCTAACCTCCAATTAACATAACCCTGTAGTTTCATCCTATTTTTTGTAACACACATGGCTTAGCAATTGAATAAACCAAGCAAAATCCAAGAAAAATTAAAGTATGAACTCAAAATGTGACCACTCATCTTCATTATCACCATCATCGGAAGCAACAATGGAGTCGTTATCAAAACTCAACTATCGTTCCTTTAAAAGCTAGGGTTTATAACTTTTGGCACAACTCGGGTTTATAATTGTTGCTCGTCGCTGGAGAGAATGTTGAAATCGATGGTGAGGGTGTGTTCAAGTGTGCACAAATCAATTTGGAGGGGAGAGATTGAAATTGTAAATCGATTTGGAGAAATCGAACGTGCGGTTCATTATGGAGGAGAAAAGTATCGCGGATTGGGTTAAGTTTTTTAGATTTGGCATTCATAAAACCAAGGGCAGCCTTATATTTTGTTTGTGCAAATAAGCTCTTTAACCCATTGTGCTCATTAAGTCCTAAATGAACGCCCTCAAATTAAGTTCTAAAGTACTATTTTATTGGTGACGTAATTTATTTACTCTCTCTGCATACAAAAGGATGGCTTATGTTAACAAATGTCTACATCACCTTCAAAGGCTGAAATGATGAGTAGAAACATGTACTAATCATCAAATCAGATGAAGACACATGTCAAAGTTAGATAGCAATATTTAATGCACTGATGGCTATAAAAGATCATCCTTGTCCTATGGTGCAACTCGCCTGTTTTGAAAGGAATTATGAGTAATAGTTTCTTAGGCAAAATTGGTCCACTATCTGAATGACTATTTCAATACTTCAAATACCTTGTTCTCATACTCTTTCAGTATTCGAAAATTTTTCACAAGCCAGGTTGTTTAGGGTCATGTCTTACATCTCTAGCGTCCCCAACAAATCTGTAATGTTTGTTTGTAATAAACATATAAAGTTAAAAGTAAAATATGTTATGTTTGTATTCAACCCCCTTCTACAAACAGTTATTATGTTAGTCATTACTATTTCATGACTAACAAAACCTATTGATTCCATGAATACCCAAGAAAAATCTCTTCAAAAGCTCATTGATTCAATACATATTAAACTTTAGGCTCATACTTGAATTAACAGTGAACTCAAAGTTTGAATGGAAAAAGAAAAAAAATCGTATTGATCAATTGACCATCCAAATTACACGTAAGACATATAATAAGAGTCCCAAATATGAATAGGCCTGAAAAGATGATGGGTCAAACATACAAACCTAAGCCGAAAATGCAAAACATGGCAAGAAATACAAAAGTATACTAAAACATGCTTAAACGATATATTTTGAACTAAAAAAATCTCATAAGCGGACCAGCCCCTTATCCAAGGCTTGTTCCTTGTTCCAAGCTGCGAATACTTGAAACTGAGATCAACAGCAAAAGTTATGTGTGTTTAAGGCAGAGATGATGACCAGGTTGGGTTGGTCGGTTTGATACTATGTTACATTATTTTATAAAAATAGATACAATCAAACAATTAACATTTAAAAATTCTTGCACAAGAACTAAAAAGATATATTCAAACAATTTTCTGATTATGCCAAGTCAAAAGGATGCACTTTTGGACTACATGCTTAATATACAAGTGAAACTAGAAAGTAATGAAAATGTTAAGTCTCTTTGAATGCACTAATTACAACTTTAGATAAAGGATTTTTCCAACATATGTACAATTCTTATGCATTAAGAACACAAGATACTTTACCATTAAACTAAACATCAGAAATTAAACTTTTGTAAAACAATACAAAAAATCAAAAAATTTGAAACCCCAGTTACATTTTTCCCTAAAATCATTCAAGAAAAATAAAAAAAAACATCATTTATGTGATTTTGATTCTTAAAACAATCAAGAACAAGAACATTAGAAGAGACATATAAGAGTAAGAGGGGAAATGGGTTCGTTAGGTTGGTTTGGGTTCAAATAGGTCTAACTCAATACCTATAGTTTGAAAATTGTTGCTTCGTATGAAAATCGAAACAAATATTAAACCTACCGATTCCAGGAAAGATTAATCTCTTCTAAAGCACATTAACTAAACAAATACCGAACTTTAGGCTCATACTTGAATTCACAATAAACGCGAAATTTGAATAGAAAATGAAGAATTCTGTATTGATTAACTAACCACCCAAATTACACCTAAGACATATAATAAGAGTCCCAAAATATAAACGAGTCTGAAAAAAATGATGGACCAAACATAGAAACCCAACTGAAAATGAAAAATATAGCAAAAAACATAGAAGTATCCCAAAACATGTCTAAATGATGTTTTTTGGACTAGAAAAATCCCACAAGCCCTTATTTCAGGGCGTCCTCATTGTTCTAAACTTCGAATAAACATATTGTAGGCATGAAACTGAGCCTACTTTATGCACATTTAAGTACGGTATCCCATGTTTACCCGATCATAGATAGGGTTGTGCATCGGTCGGGTCGGATCGGGTCGGGTCGGTCCCGAAAATGGTTAACCCGATCGGGTTTCGGGGTAGAAAGACACAACCCGAAGTACACTGTTCGGGGTTTGGGTCTTGTCGGGTACAGAGCTAATCGGGTCGGGTTCGGGTGAATAGCATAGAATAAGCAAATTACACAGCCTTAAATAAACTCACTTTACAAGGCCACTCATTAGCCATGGGTACAAAAATATATAGGCTACAAACCAAACTAAACCAAACTGTTTGTTTACAAAGGTATGTCAACATTAAGCACACTAAAACTATTAGGCATGTCTAAACCATGTAAGCAGCAGCCAAAAACTCAAGATCCTTATTCCTTAATGTGGAAGGTGAACTCTTTGACCATTAACAACCACTTCCAAAAAAGAAAAACTAACCTGATCCAATTATTCAATCACAACACCAATCACCTGGCACACCTGTCCGATTGCTCCGGCTCCGTTGAACTCATCAGTGCTCTTTTTCCGACAGCAGATCCTTCAGCATGGATTGTAGCGGCTGGTTTGGATGGGGCAGCACAGCAGCAGAAGTAGGGTAGTTGACTATAAGAGATTCCACCATCTATAACAGTATGTAACAAATTATGTTAGAAAAAAAACTGATACCTAAAACTTGCATTGAGCCACTTTGATGAGGAGGGTAAGGAGAAGGAAGTAGGAACCGTACATGGAGGCCTCGAAAACGATCCAGGTTGTTGACCCTGTTACAAACACCAAACAGCAAAACACCAAACAATGACAATAAACAAGCAAAATTAAAAATAAACAAGCCATCGATGAACTTGAAGTCACTATATTGTGATTGGTTTATTGTCCAAAAAGTGGGAAAGATAATGTACAGGAAAGAAAAGTGGGAAAGAATCTTCAAAATTCAAAGTGGCCACTTCTACAATATATCATCTAGCTGTAGGTCATCTTCATCAACAGCTGGAACCAGAAGAGAATCCTCTTGGTCAGTGACAGAACTTGAACTTCCAATTCTCATATTCATTATGTCTGCGTTTATAGAAGTATGTAATATATAAATATACAAATTCAAGTTGAATAGGTATACTAAAATACTTAATATATAACTAATGTCGTACCTTTCTCAAACTTTTCAATATCAGCTATGTTTTCTTCAACTGCAATTGGCTGACTAGGGCCTCTTAGCCAGTCTTGTGTACATATTAGAGCTTCTACCATTTTAGGAGATAGAGAACTCCTAAAATTATCTAAGACCCGGCCACTAGTACTAAAAGTAGACTCAGATGCCACAGTTGAAATTGGAACAACAAGCACATCTCTAGCCAATTTCGAAAGAATAGGAAACCTTTCACTATTAACCTTCCACCATCTTAAAATATCAAAATCGTTTGTCTCATCTAYKGTCGACTSACTTAGATAAAGTTCAAGTTCACTCTTTTTGTTGAGTGAAGCCCCATTTTCCATCTTTTATTTCTTAAGTTGGCTCTTTAATCTAGATTGTACCCTTCCAACGGGAACATTCTCACACTTAATGGGTGGAGGAGGCATCATAGTGGTAGAAGGTTCGGAATATGTTGACACATACTCTTGAAACAACATATCCAATTTAGACTTTACCTTTTCAAAGCATGCCTTACCTTGATCCTCACCATACATTTGAGTGAGTTGGACTTGCATGTACTCAACCTTGTCTCTTGGGTCCAATATATTGCCAAAAAATATGATGAAGTTCATCTTATYTGGATCACCCCAATATTTGCTGAACTTCTCTTTCATTTTAACACCCATATTCTGTTCATAAATCAAAAACAAAAAGTTAGTAAACAACCAAATATAAGTAAATAGTAAAGGTAATATTAAGGGAAGATAAACATACCTCTTCAACTTTTGACGTAGATTGTAACATATCGGCAATAATGCAACTCAAATCTGAAATCTCGGTTAAGAAAGAATTTGAGGTGACATAAAGTGAGCCAAATATCCTAATTGTCATCTCATAAAATGTCTTCAAAAATATGACCAAACTGTCAACCTGTAACCAATCAAGATAGGAAGGCACCGAATCACCCAAATCCAAATGTAACGCTGTGTCACTACTCTCACACGTTTCAAAAACTTGTCTGTAACCTATTGTGGTTCGAAGCATCATATAGGTGGAGTTCCATCTAGTTGGAACGTGACAACATAAGGAACTTTTCTCCTCCACTTCAAGCAAATCTGCAAGTTCTCTAAACTTCTTCAACCTAGATGGGGAACCCCTCACCCACCTAATGCAATCCCTAATCTTTTTAACTGATGAATCTGCTAATTTCAATCCATCTTGTACAACCAAATTAAGAATATGAGCAATGCATCTCATATGTATGTACTCTGCCCTAGTAGAAGAACCACCCCAATTCACCACCTTCTTCTTCATGAACCCAACGGCAATGTCATTGCTTGACGCATTATCAACTGTGATGGTGAAATGTTTTTTTACTCCCCAATCAAGCAAACAACTCTCTATGGCCTTAGCTATACTTTCCCCTTTATGTGAATATATAGGCACAAATGAGATGACCTTTTTATTTAATTTCCACTCATCATCAATAAAATGTGCAGTGACACRCATATAATTGATTCTTTGGACAGATGTCCACGTATCAGTGGTCAAACTAATCCGCTGCGTGCTTGACTTAAACAATTTCTTAAGGTTGGTTTTCTCTTCAAAGTAAATACTAAATATATCCCTATTAACTGTCCATCTAGAAGGGATCTTAAATCTAGGGCATGCAGCCTCAACAAACTGTTTAAAACCTCTCCCTTTAACAAACCTAAATGGAAGTTCATCCATTATAATCATTTTCGCTAACATCTTTCGAACAACCTCTTGGTTAAAAACCCAAGAGGTCAAAGCACCATCACTATTCTCAGATTTTGCAGATTGAAATGCAAGAATTGACTGCTTTGTTTCCTTAGCATGTGGATTCTTTAAACAACCTTTCATGTGGTTATTTAAAGAGGAAGTACCATGCTTTTTAGCCTCAGCTGCATATACTTTTGAACAATATAAGCACTTACCTTTAATGACTAGCCCATCCTCGTTTAAAATCTTCTCAAAATGGTCCCAAACTTGAGATCTGGATTCTAATGTTTTCCTTTTTCTTGTACTTTCCGGAATAGGTTGACTTACGGTAGGATTAGATTGTGAAGGAGGAGCTTGATGATGATTGTTACTTCCGAATTGAGACGTGCTAAGTTTTTCCATCTACAATTGTAAACAATCTAAAAATATAACAACTACTAGGTGTGAAAGACTAATTAGAAAGGAAAGGATAGCTCTTTTTTTGAGCCTAAAACAATAACTGCATGACATATAGGTAGTTGTTTGGAAAGTTCCTTGTTCATAAGGCAAAATAAGTGGGATTTAAAGTTTTTCTCTTTATGTAGTTGCTAATTGCAGTTTCCATGTCCGAATGCCAGAGCACTAAAGAGCCATAAAAGCAGGTGCTGAAAAAGTGAAACTGGTCCAAAGTACTATTACATATACAAACATACAGTACACGCAATTGATGCAACTTATGCATACTTTTGATGTCACTTTTATGGTTCAAGAATTTGCCCCTTCACAATATATGACAATTCATAAAACTAAAGACCACGTTATGCCAACAAATCTGTAGATGTGCTTCATGATTTTGGTCATAATGTCATGCATTTTACTTGTCAAACTACCAATTCAAATTGTATTATTAAGTCACTATAAACACAGATAACATAAAGAGAAAAACTATAAAGAAAAGTAGATTATACACAGTAACACAGATAACATAGAAAAGTAGAAAACTATAAAATTAAGAAAGAAAACTTGAATTCTTAGAAATTAGAATCTTAGATTCTTAGTTACTTACTTCTTGTGTAGAGACTAGAGACGAGACTTCTGTGTGTTCTGTCACTCTCACTAAGTCGCAATCAATCGTCGGCAGCACCGCAGCAGGCAGCAGCGGGCACACAGTCAGTCAATCGTCGTCGGCACTCGGCAGGGAAGCAGCGGTCAGCGTCGGAGGGCAGGGAGGCAACGGTCTCAACTTCGCAAGACGGCAAGAGGCAAGACGGTCTCACGAATCGTAGCCCTACTACCAGCACGCCAAGCAAGCCCGTATAGTATACAAAGGCCCAACTTAACCCCTAAAGAGTTCGGGTTTCGGGCGGGTTCGGGGCGTGGATCGTGGGATCCTACCCGATCCGCCATACCCGAAGTAAATATCGGATTCGGATATCGGGTGCAATCGGGCCATAATTTCGGTTTGGGTTTCGGGTTTTTCGGTCGGGTTAATCGGGTAATTCGGTTTTTTCGGTTTTTGCTCAGCCCTAATCATAGACATCCAAGAACAATAAAGTTTGATCGTCCATGCATAAACTCTGCATAAAAAAATTTATAACTTGATTAAGTCTAAAGTTACTTTGGATTGGGTTATTTTACTTTGAATTGACGGATTAACCCGGTTGGTGGTGGTTTTATGCACATTGTTTACATTTACATGCTTGCATAGGGGAATCTCAGGTGAATCCTCATCAAAACTCAGCCTAAACATGCGGGTTTAAAATGACCCAAAACCAGTTGGCCTTAACCCGTATCCGGATATAAGAGTCTAAATCTTCACCCGATTCGGCCTCATGCCCTGACTCGATCATCGGCTTCATCGCCTTTTCTCTCTCGCTCTCTGGCCGACTCTCGCCTCTTCTTCTAGCTCAGCTCGGAACAGGGGCGACACAGCGTTGCTAATTAGCCAATCTCAAACCCTAACAGCTCGATTTCTGACTTGATTCAAGCCAGGTACCAGTTATATTTTATATTCATGAATGATGAACTTGGTGACTAGAATATTGATTTACAGATTGCAGTTACTGTTGCTTCCATTTGAGAATTAGAATATTGATTATTGAATGGCTGAATGTTGTAACTTGATTTTGAATACTTGATTTTGTTCTTGTTGCTCCCTCTAGATTGCTTTGCTGCTGCCTTCCTAAAATTAAAATTTTCCAGAGGCTAAAACTAGTGGCTAACTCAAACAAAAAATCCCAGTTATATAACCTCCATCTATGAGCGGGTTTCTGATCCAAGGCTTCAAACCGGATACAATTAAACTTTAAGCATACAAGCGGTATGTATGTCACTAGAAATGCATATCTTTATAAAGAATTTTAAAAGAATTCTTTAAGAAAGTACATTTTGCTTCGTCCATTCATTTGTGGGTCTCATATGCGCAAAGACTCACATCACGACTCATAAAATAGTAATGTCTCATGAGAATGAAACGAAACAAGGCTAAACAAGGTGGCCGTAAGTTGAGTATTGTTTTGCTGCCTTTAGTTGTTTGACGATATGTATATTTCCAAATATTGATTTAATGCAACCCCAAATTTTGTAATTAATTTTTATTTACTTTATGATATTTATGTTGTGCTTGAAAAACATTTATGGATCTTCCTCTGATGTGTGGTGTGCCGGTGTGCCCCATAACCGGAGTTTCTTGATCCGCCACTGACTTTAATCACTGTTAAAATCCACAAAGGGTGCACATCGTATGGCATCTTCATCCCAAGCTCTTTCTGCTCCTCTGCGCACACGTGCCCCTCCTATTCCATTTTTCTCACGAACTTCATCGTCGTGGTTTCCAGTGACCAATCGGTCCTTCCGTGGTAGCTCTGGTCTTTTTTCGACACAGGCCAGTAGTAGTAGCATCTCGGTAATCAGGGCCAACAATCCGGAAAAATTCAGCTGCTTGAAGACAAAGGTGTCAACGTCTGCGAATATGGCAACTGAGAAAAAAGCACAGGTATTTGATTCTGAAGAAGCTCTGTCGGTGTCTCTGGCCAAATACATTGCCGATTTGTCGGAAAAGTTCATCAAACAAAAGGGTTCCTTCACAGTTGTTGTGTCCGGAGGATCTTTGATCAAGTCACTCAGGTAAGTGTAAAAAAGATGCATGTTTTCTTTCTGAAAACTAGTTCTTTTAACCTTGGTGGAAGAAGATTCAATATTAGAACTTAATAAGTTTGTTCTATTGATCCTCTTTTTTTTTTTTTTAATTTGGCGAGTTCTATGGCTGTAAAGAAAGTTCAAGCATTAAACTCAAATTTGTTTTCTTGATGTTAAGTTTCCTGGGAAAGTTGTACAAGTGCTCCAAGAATCCATTTACCATCTTAATTGGGTTTTTTGATTGCCTAATGTGATTGTGAATTTGGTACTGATATTTGATGGGTCTTTTGATATTGAAATCGAAGGAAACTAGTGGAAGCACCTTACGTTGATTCGATAGATTGGTCAAAATGGCATATGTTTTGGGTGGATGAAAGAGTTGTTCCTAAAGATCATCCGGATAGCAATTATCTGCTTGCCTTTGATAGTTTTCTCTCGAAGGTATGTTTATGAAAATTTTGAGTTGTATTCACAGAAAAGAAAGGCCTAGTCTTTGATTTGGTGAAATTTATTTTCAGGTTTGCGATTGTTGTCAATTCTAAATTGGAGATATTTTTCGTGTACCATTTGTTTGAACTTTGAACATGAGAACAGTTCAATATCTCCATTGAACTTAATAAGTGTTACAAATTATAAGAAGTGTTGAAATCAGTAACAACTCCAAAAACTGGTTTTGACATTGGAAAAAATGACACTTGTGTGCTATATACAAAATGTTAGTTCCACGTTTTCCTTTCCCAATTGTAGTACATGTCTCATAATCAAGATAATGGATCTTGATCAAATTTTAAAAAGCCTTCATGTTCCTTGGGACAACCTCTTAAAGACCCATCAGTTAGAGTACATTCTTTTCATGTGTCTGAGTCTCATTATGGAGGCCTATATCTTGCTCACCGCTGTGATAAACCCAAAAGTCAAGTAGAGAGAGTTTTTTTTCACTACATCTTTTCTAGTCTTGGTCAAAGATTGTCCTTTCTTTCCTCGCATCCTTGAACTGCATCGTCATGGGTTACGATGAATACATTCGTAAACCAAAAAAGGACCATAAAATGGTCATCTTCGGTGGAATCCAAGGGGTCTGTGTCTCACTGAACTGTTAAGTTCATTCCATGATGCGCTACATTATTAATTATTACTAAATTGGAGTGCTACCATTGTAAATTAGTTCTACCTGATGTTATGCCAGCATAGTTTCTATGTAAGACCTTTGAGAATACAAAAGCATTCTTATTAAGCCTCTCTTGGTGCATTCCTTCCTTTTTTGTTTCTAGTGCTGGTGATTGTTGGAGGTTTAGGTACCTCCCCTTTCCAGCAGACTTTGTGCTGGATTTGCTCATCTTAATGACCCGTGTGCCTTATTTTAAATGGTGATATTAGGCATATATGGTTCAAGGCAGAGGATCATCTACTATCTTCCGTCTAATGTGTGATGTGGATTGGATGGTGGTTCCTGAGTAGTGTTTATAAGAACCAAGATACAATCCTAGATTGTTTGACTGTGTCAATAGACTGATCATCATATTCAAATGCATAAAAAAATGTCATATGAGATTTTATTTCTAATGTTCAAATGTCTTGCTATCTTTATTTTGCCAGGTGCCAATTCCCCCTGGAAATATTTATGCCATTAATGATGCCTTGTCAGCGGAGGGTGCAGCAGACGACTATGAAACCTGTATCAAGCATATGGTTCATAACGGAGTAATCAGCACATCTGAGGCAAGTGGGATTCCGAAATTCGATCTTATGCTCTTGGGGATGGGCCCAGATGGACATGTGGCATCTTTATTTCCTGGACACCCTCTGCTTCAAGAAAAGAGCAAGTGGGTTGCTTTCATCAAGGAATCACCAAAACCCCCTCCAGAAAGAATTACCTTCACTTTCCCAGTAATAAACTCATCTGCAAATGTCGTGCTCGTGGTAGCCGGGGCTGGTAAAGCCCATCCGGTGCATGTAGCTCTGGGCGATGGTCAAGATCCCGAGTTGTTGCCTGTTCAAATGGTTTCGCCTGAAGGAGAGCTGACATGGTTTTTGGACAAGGATGCAGCCTCAAAGCTCTAGGACATTTGCAGTCCATCATAATGCCAAGTTGATCCCAACTCCTTTAAAGCTCATGTTTATCTATCTTATGCTTGTTCTTTAGCTTCCCATAGACGTTTGAGATCAGAAGATCATTTTCAGCTTCAAGATTGTGATGTACTTTAAATAAAGAATATGGTTTGATTGCTCCAATAAGCAAGAATGAGAAAAAGATGAAAGATACCAAAAAAGTGAAATCCATATTCTCGCTGTTCTATTTTACCAGACAGTTAGCATTCTTGTTCTACATCGGGTAGAAGAAAATCCATGTTCTTTCTTTACTTCAGCTCAGGTGACATCTACAAATCTGGTGTTGCACTCTGGATGAATGCCTTGTCTTCTTCAAACGTTGCAGTAATTATAGTAACCTTCGTGTTGGCAATCACGATCAGCCTCACAGTCAGGTATGTCATTTAACGAAAACCAGTTACTCGATATAATGTTTTACTGGACAACTAACACAACAAGCCTATAAACGACTTTGCTGCTTAACAAAACCTTTCTTGAAATTACGTTGTATTACACCGTGCATTGCCCGTTTTAGGAGCATAACATCCCTCTGAAAAGTGGAAGGCTGAGAAGGGTAGAGTGAATGTTTTCAAATTCCATTCTGAGGAAGACGTAGCTGTATGTAGGTCTTGCCAAATACGTTGCAGATCTATCAGCTAAGTTCATAAAGGAAAAGGGGTGTTTCTTGTTTTGTCTGGGGGTACACATTGATGCTCTCAGGTACGGCCTCTCTATCTCTATCTATCGAAAGACTAAGTGGCCGTTTACCAAACATTTACCGGATAATTGATTACCGGGCAGGCTCGTTCTTGATATTTTATAGACTCTGGACGAACGTAAAAACAGGGCCACTGCAAGAAACAAGGATTTTAGCAACGACTTTTGTCGTCGCTAAAAGTCCATTTATCATCAGAAAGAGTATATGACAACATGTCGTTATAACTTGTGACGGAAACATGTCATCACTAAAATGCGCAAAAAAATTCAATAAATGTTTTCCATTAGTATAAAAATCGAGTACAAGAAATGCTAATAATTTACTAAGGAAATAAATCTTATTTATCTTTATTATAAATACATAAGAGATTACTTAAATTTATGTATTTCTTATTAGGTAATTTGAAACCAATAGTATAGAAACTATGATTGATAAATTTTTATAAAAAGTAAGAATTTTTTTAGTTCATAACAAGAAATATATGTTATTTTGATAGAAAAAAAAAAAGAATTTGTGTGAATGAAGTAATCGTGAGAGTCAGTGAGAGATCAATAATAAAGAAGATTATCAAGTTTTTCTAGACAAGTAGACAAATGAAAATGAATAAGAATATGAAAGAAAAGATGATTCATTGAGATCCAATAAGAATAATAATGATTAAGCATATAATATGCAAGCTTAACAAATGATTGTTTGAGTGCTTAAATAAAATCTTGTGGTGTGGTGGAATCTCAATTAAAGATACGCAAGTCAAACAATTGATGAAAATATTTAAATTCTATTTCCATTTTTTTTGCTCAACTAAAATAAGATGTTAAGATTAAAAAATTATAGAACATGAGATATATAAGAGACATTACTAAATACATCTAGAGAAAAAATTTATTGATTAAACACAAAACCATGAAACACGTCTTAAATTATAAGAACAAGATTGTCAAACAATAGTAAAATATTTTATGTAGAAGCAAAAATAGATAACAATAGTCAACAAAAACAATCAGAACAACATAACCAAATAACAATAGTCAATGGAAGCAGAAATTGATAAAAATATCCAACAAAAATATATAACAATAGAGAGCACATGATCTTAACATTGAATTGTTGAAGCACGAAACAGTCAAACATATAGAGATAGCAATAGTCAATATCAATGGACCTTGTTGGAGATAAAAAGAATTAGAGAGACAATAAACAATAACATATAATGAATGATTAATTAATTTTTTTTATTTTTTTTCAATATAATTAGTTGATATAATTTTGGGCTCTTATTATCTACTAAATTCTTTTTGCTCTATATCATATGCTACAATTTTTTGAATTTCTTTAATTTATTAAATTCTTTTAGACTATTATTGTATTTTAAGGGGAAAAATGTTTTGGACCCTGGGTGTGCCCCCGTGCCGCCCTCCCCTAGGGACAACTCTGTAACCGGGCTAAGCATGACAAGGATCAAAAATCTTACCCCGTAAAAGTATTGTAAGGACCGATAATCTTACCAATCAACTCATATCAGATAAAAAACGCTTATCAACAATCCACTTTGATTGCCAAGAATGTTATTCGACAAGGTAAGTGAAACTAGTGACCCTTGCCAGTATATGCTTACCCGGTAAGTGGCAGCTTGGAATCGTTCATATTCACACAGTGGGCACAAAGTCCCCACAGTGGCAGTGCAAGTGTACGACAATGATCGCTTACAAATAATAGGGTGATAAAGTACTGAGATCGTTTCCACAGGAATTGAACTACTAAGAATCGTAAAATTTCATGAACTTCTTGAGAATGATTCGGTTTGATTAATAGTTGCATTTTTGTTGGTGAAAAGCTTTAAAAGACGAAATAGACTTGTAAATAAAAAATGGGGCATGGGTGTAAATATTCCTTAAGACAAAAACAACAATATACCGGTCGGAGACTTATGAGATGTTTATAAAAATTCCAATCTCTCGAAAGTGAAGTTTTATAGACGGCGTCCACTAAGTTCCCACTTCCACCACTCCGAAGTTTACTTATTTAACTAACCAGAAAAAGAAATGAAAATTATACTCAAATCTCTTTGTAATACAAATCTCTACGTAATTATCAAAGTCTTTCTCAAATCTTTGTGCATCACTTGAGACCGTATTTCGAATACGTCTATTTCTGGGTCAAAGATTTAATATTAACACTTCAAAGTGATCGCTTATCCGCGTTGAGTTTTAGTCCCGACTGACGTGATCAAGTATAGGAAGTGGTAAAGATTGAAAACTCCCAAATGTTGCATAAAAATCCTAAGTTAACTCACTCCCACATTCCCGGAAGTAATTAGCTCATAATAGACATGGAAAGCATAATAGAAGACATGAAATAAAACTTAAATGAAACTTTTATTAAAATAGAACAACAGTCAGCCACCACAGTGGTAAAGTTGTGGCTAGCATATTACAAACTAAGAAACTTAATACAAGAAAATTAAATGTTAAGACTTAACTTAAGAGTAAAATATGGAGAAACTTCAGCAGAATTGGGATGATCTTCAAATAAACTCAAGGCTCCTTTTATACAGAGGAGAAAATGATAAGGATGACCACCATTACCCATAAGAAATTAGCTCTTATATACTTGTGGTTAAAGAGTCAACTCACCTCCTCCTTTTATCCAAAACTCAGACTTCAAAGGTAGTTCTAGTTGTAGACAACTTTTTAGAAAGACATTCCAGAAAACTTCCTCCAAAAAATTTGATCCTTATCCATAAATTCGAATTCTTCCCATTGTGGTGACACTGTGGGCACAGTCTCAAAGTGATGGTTTTTGGAAATAAATTATCATCCTTTGTATTTCATCATCTTTTTAAAACTTTTAAAATAAAGAGGGAAAAACAAGGAAAATTGGGTGTTTAAATGATGTAAAAAGGGGAAAAAGAAACGCTAAATACATACAAAATCCGTATCTCTACCCATTTATCAAAGACTTTCTCAAATCTGTGTACATTACTTAAGACATATTTCAGATCCGCCCATATCTGGGTCAAAATTTTAATATTAACACTTCAAACTGATCGGTTCGTTGAGTTCTAGTCTCGACTTACGTGATCAAGTTTACGAAGTGGTAAAGAATGAAAACTCCCAAATGTTGCTTAAAACCCCTGTGTTAACTCACACTCACACCCACAAAAGTAATTAACTCATGATAGACATGAAATTAAATTTAAATGAAACTTTCATTAAAATAAAACAAGAGTTTGCCACCACAGTGGTGAAGCTGTGGGCAACAGATTACAAACTAAAAAAATTAAATACTAAGACTTAACTTGAGAGTAAAATGTGAGACTTCAGCTGAACCGGGATGATCTTCAAATGAACTCAAGATTCTTTTATATAGGGGAGGAAAGGATAAGGATGTCCTAATTACCCATAGGAAATGAGCTTTTATATATTATATGTTTAAAGAGTCAACCCATCTCCTTTTTTTATCCAAAACTCAGACTTTAAAAAGGTAGTTCTGTAGATAACTTTTTAGAAAGGCATTCAAGAAAACTCTCTCAAAAAAGTTGATCTTTATTCATAAATTCGGAATCTTTCCACTGTGGCGACACTGTAGGCATTGTCTCAAAATGATTGTTTTTGAAATAAATTTTCATTCTTTGTGTTTCATCATCTTTTAAAAAAAATGAAATAAGCAGATAAAAACAAAGAAAATTAGATGTTTAAAAGATATAAAAAGGAGAAAAATAAATAAGAAATAAGCTTAAAAAAATGAAAGTTATCAGTCACAACTTTGACATTAAACTCGTGACAGGAAATTAGTGGAGCCCCCTTACATACATTCAATAGACTGGTCAAAATGGCTGATTTTCTTCTTGGACGAGAGGGTGGTTCCTCCCAACCACCCTTGACAGCAACTACAAACTTACTTTAGAGTTTTCTGTCCAAGGTATATTATATGCAAATATATGTTCATATTTGGACATGTAAATATGATGTTGCAAGGTTTTGACAAATAACGTGTTATGGTAGGTGCCGATACCTAAGAGTAGCATACACGCCATCGATGCCAAATCATCACCAGAGGGTGCATCCCACGATTATGAAAGCTGTCTAAAGCAGTTGGTCGAAAATGGAACATTACGAAAATCAGCGAGTAGCGAGTTTGGCAACTTTGGTCTGATACTACTAGGAATGGGTCCAGATGGGCACGTTGCATCTCTATTTTCTTGCATTTCCAGCGGTTTGAGAGAACAAGATGGGTGACTTTCATCTAGGGCTCACCCAAACCGCCTTCCCAGAGGATCACACTCACCTTTCCACTCATCAATGCAGCATCCGAAATTGCCATGGTGGTCATAGGGGAGGATGCAGCAGATGCCGTGAAAATAGCATAAAGGAAAATGTCTAGTTATAGTTGCTGTTTCCCTTTGCCAAGGTTTCACCCATCAGGAACCTCACTTGGTTCCTGGATAGTGACGCTACTTCAGGATACCACCATTAACTATGCCAATGTTGTAAACTAACAGTTTCAATCCAATAAACAAACCGGTCCAAATGACACATTTATCTGCCAAATAACCAAAAACATAACACTGGTCTAATGGAACCCAGACACCACGAGCTAACAGAAACGTTCTGCATGACTTAAATAAAATCGACACAACAAGACCATCTAAACCTCAAGGGATTGATTTGTCAAGCTGACTTCTCTTTTGTGTAAGATCTGACAGCAAAAGCCAAGCCGAGGATGATAAGAGGCACGATAAACTGTAATATCTTAACGATGAAATCTGAAGTCTTGTCAGGATTGTAGCTACGGTCAGCAGGTGCAACATAAGTGCGCTTCTTAGGAACGGTTGCCCTGTCTACCTCACCAATGTAATATTTATGCATCATATCTCTTGCATCATCACTGTGGCCCACATCCTCAAAATCGTCAGTTGCGTCTTTCCCTGCAATCATATTGAATGTCTAACATCATTCACTCTCATTATTTGGTCTAGGAGATGAAGACATGACAGTTGAAAACGTACCAGTTGCTGCCAGCAGAACTTCATCACCTCCAGGGTGATCCTCCATAAACGGGGTTACATCATAAACCTGGTGCAGTTTAGGTTCACCAATACTTGATCACAAACGAAAGCCAGAAGAATGAAGGATAAACATGTTTAAAAATCACTAGTTACGAGCCAGTTGTAGTTCAGGTGACACATTATATCTTAAGAGTTCCAAACCACAAAATGAATAAACCTTTCACCACAGAAGAAAAGAAAAAGAACAAGATCTTATGTCTGGATGGTATTGACACCAAATTTCTATCACAACTTTAAATGAAATTTCATATAAATGTAGGCCCTTTTTGATTTTGATAATTCCAACATGCCCCTTTTGGGTCAATTTTAAACCTAAATTCATCATTAAATTAAAGATAGTAGTGATTTTGAATCCCCAATCTCAGTTATTGACATCACATAATTGTTTTAAACTATGTGCTCAGTCAAGCATTACAACTTTTAAGGGGTATATCAATTTTCAATCTCGTACAAAATTCTTCAAAAAAACAACAATCAAATATCAATCCCATCAATACAAACTTCTTGGGCCATAAGCGATTTTTAATTGATTTTCTTTTCAAAACACGCAAATCCCAAGGAATCTATAACCCGATCAAATACAGCTCCAAATCTTATTTCTTTGATAACAGAGAGTATTATCAGTTTCAGATGTTCTTGGCCATCACTATTAAATTCATCAACATTCAAATTACACCAAAAACCCTGCCTATATTCAACTCAGAGCCAAATCGCACAACTTAACTACAAAAACCAAAATCACTGTACGATTACAGGATCATGCAACAAAGATCGGATCGTATCAAGCTAATAAAGCACAATTGAGTTTAATTAAGAATTTTAAAAACCTTAAAAGTTCGATAAAAACAAAGCCTCTACAAATCAGCAAAGTCAAATTCAAAATCACAAAAGATCTGACCTTTCCATTGATGATAAGCCAGCAGTCCTTGGTTTTGTTGTGTTTAACGACGTCCTCGAATACGAAGTTTTTTGGATCTGACGCCATTGATATCTGCTACTGCAAAAAGACAAGATCAAGAAGAAAGTAAAAGGTTCAATCTTTAATTGATCAAAAGAAAAGGAACTTGTATGGTGAAAAGCGCATCGATCTACAAGAAATGGTATTTGAAAGGAATCTGTGGACTTACGAGAGAGACTTTACGCCGGCCGAAGGTTTTCAACTCTCTCACTCTTGTTCGGTAGGAATCGATTTGATTCTACAAACAATGGATCTTGCTATTTATATGTGTACAGATCTTGGAGCACCCTTATCAGGACCTGTCAAGTGAATTTACAAGATTGACCTTAGAACGGGGTTTTCTGTTTTATGTATATTATATTATAAAATATTTGATAAAAAGATCAATTTTTTTTTGCATAAATTATTATTTATTGATGTATATTATTTAAAATTTAAAATTATAAATAAATTATACTTAAGTACAACTTATT